TTATGATGTTCGGCTGTTAAAGTAAGGCTTTTACCTTAACATCACTGTCAATAACAAGCAATAATGGTTTTCCTCTCACATTACTGTGCATACGAATGTCAAAGACTGCTAATGTGTATTAAGTCATTATGATTAATATGTTTTGATTATAATAAATGTTCTTTTATTTGAGTTCATTTTTCTTCAAGTGACAAGTGTTTACTTGAGGCAAACGTTGACGACTGTGTGCCTACGTTTCTATGAAGTCAACACAGGCCCAGAGAATCAAAGATTCTTTTGTCACTCAAGGTCAAATCTACTACAGCCGCCATAAGTCTCTCTTTCTCTCTGAAAAAGAACCACAGCATCACTCTGTGTGTCTGCCTGAATGGTTTTTTCCCTTAGCCTCCTCTACGCTGAACTTTCTATAACAGGGTCAACTGATTTTTTGTTTGTTTTATTGTTCATTGTGTGCTAGGAAATCGTGATGCCCAAACAGCAGTGACTGTAACTTTGCCTTTCTCATCATTAAGCGGGCCGTCAGGAATAATATTTAACATATAAAGAATGATGTAAACTTCTTAGCATTGAAACAGTGGATCTTTTCCCCACTCTTTCCCTACCGATTCAGTACTCCAACACTGATGTGCATACAATTATAGCAAATAAAACCTCCTTCGGATGCACACACTTACAGAACTTTTTGGTGGAATGCACACATTTACAGAATTTTTTTTTGTATGTGTGTGTGGAAGCTTGAATGAGAAATCCGGTAACTCTCATGCAATACGTGAAAGAAAAGAAGGCAGAATCCTGAAGTTAGCACTACTGCAGAATTGAAAAATTATCACCTATATCTGGAGAGCCTGAGGAACAGTTTATTTCAGAAGATAGTCAATGTGTTTAAGGACAGAAGTATTATGACTGAGAAATGAAGAATAACTCAAATGTATTTGGCAGTTTTCCTGCGAGTAAGTATAAACAGCTTCTATCTGGAGAGCATCAAGAACAGGCATTAGCAGTCCCAGTAATAGATGAAGCGAAATGCAGCAGGAGTTGATGTGGATAATGAAAGACTAGGAAAGAGTTGGGGCGGAGGCCTAAGCTGGAGTCCTGAGAAAGTATCCATCTCTGAGAGAAATGCTCCAAGAAGAATGATGAAGGGATGATAAGGAAATATAGCGATATTGTAATTCAGACTGTACCAGATGGGATGCTGAAATTTGAGTACTGTCTGAGATGGATGGCTACAGAGCTCTTGTAATTGCAGCGATTATCCACCACTTCGTCTGCACCGAGGAAATAATACAAGTTATTTGTGGGCAGGAAACATGATAACAAATCTTAATTGTCTCTGAAACAGTTATCTGGATCAAAATGAGAGAGAAGCTAAAAGGCTTAATGTCAATGCTATCAAAAGTGCCAACGGTGAAAGATGAAGTATATGGTATGAGAAGGGAGCAATGGATGAAATCTGAGCAAGGAAGTGACTATTTCCAATCGCACATTTGACATAACAAAATTGATAATCATTTCTCATTCACTTGTTGTTGTCCTATGTCAGTGTAGGGGAAAAAAACCCCAGATTTTTTAAAAAAATGATGCAGCTCATTGGTGAGGCACATGATGCAAAAACAAGACTGGACTTTTCTCTAATTCAGACCTGTTCTTGCAGCCATCCTGAATCAGCTCTAGAAGGACTTATGTGATTGTTATTCATCTTCAGATATTATATTGAAATACATATAACCTGTTTACTGTTCTGGATGAATTTCACACTGATTACTATTTTAATCAAAATATTAAAAGGCACCATCTAGATTTCTGGAAATCTTGTGTACTATACTTTCTCCACTAGATGTCTCCAGAGAAATACAAGTAAATAACGCTACCAGAAAATCATGCTTAATAAAAATTCAGGTTTAAAGTTGTAAAGAGTATCCCGCTCAATAGAGTGAAATATTCACACCAATTGGCCATTTAATATGAGAATGCGATCTATCACTGGATAGGCTTTTATAGTCAGAATATAAATTTATACAGGAAAATTGATATACTGCTACATTTGTCTCAGAAAACCTCTTGTTCTTTTAAAGAAGCATCACTTATGTCTACTTTGGGGTGCAGCTGATAATTTCTTTTTCTAACAGTTTGAAATAATGAAATTGTATTACTAAAAGTGAGGCTTATACAAAATCTGGTGTGTCTATTCTGAATCATTGAAAAATAAAGATGTTTTAATGTGAAGTATTTGAGTTAACCAAAATCTGTTGAATTCATGGGTCTTTGTCAATCCTGGACAGCCCAGGGCAAGTATAAGTTTAGTAACAGTGTCATTGGCAGGAGAGAGTGGCCATGGCATTATACTGGTTTCATACTTTCCAACAGACACAGGCTTACTACAAAGATCCACTGTGTAGCATTCTGCTAGTGAATTGGCATCCTGAGAATCACAAACAAATGCCCCTGTCTTATAGACATGTTCTTTTCATTCAACAGCGTAGTAAGCCACTTCTTTCCATCAATGACTTGATTTCTAGGTCAGGTTTTGTGACCTTGGATGTCAGATTTAATTTCTGTGATTTCACTTTTCCTTCCAACTGGTCGACTCAAGGTCAGGATCCTTTCAGGGACTAAAAGAACACAAGATCTGTGTAGAGACAAGCAGAGAGAGAAAGGGAAGGAATGAATGTTTTCCTTGATGGATACTCTGAAAGAGAAGAATTGTGTCACTGCCAATATTTTTCAATGTCTTCTCCATAATTTGGATTACTTTTTCATCCCCTTGTTTAAAAAGACTCTTCTTTTCCCAAAAAGTCAGTTATAGATTTGGGTTCAACTATTCAGAGCTAATAAAGTCACTTGTGTTTTTCTCCCAATATTTAGAATATAATATCACATTTCCAGGTTGGTCTTGAGTTTGCAAGAAATGGTACTATAGTTTTTTTTTTTTTTTTTTCAGATTCAAACTTCTCTTAGGATATTTTCTAATCTCTAAATTTTCAAGTAGTTTATATATACAATCCGGCCACTATTTTCAAGATTCTCCTTGAAATCAGTCCTAATCCTAATAGCAAATATTTGTTAAGTGCTAACATTTGTTGACTTCCATGGGATTTATGCATGTTGTAAACATCATGCTCACAATGGATTAAGACTCATGTTATTTGAAACCCATAAGAGAAATACTTACAAATCCTTTTTTTTAAAAAATTGTCTGAGTGGGGATCATGTATTTTACCAAAAAGGTAAATTTATATCCCCCACAGGAAGGAGAAAATATTATTTTGACATATTAGTATATTTCCATCTTTCTACTCATTTTATGCACAGTCTTTATAGAAACTTTAATTGTAATGGATGAAGCTTTTGATAAGGGAAAATAGTTCCAAACTTGTCCCTTAAAGTATTTTCAACTGATTGCAGGCTTCATAACAAAGCAGGTAAAATGGCATGAGATTTTATTTATATCTTCACGCCTGTACTCATAGTCAGGTCTGTCATCATGTGAATTGTATTTAAAGACTCGCCTTTTTAAACTCTTGATAAATATTCTCTATGTCTGAATCCTATTCTTTTCATATCTTCTTACTTTTCCCTCTAATAAAATCCCATGGGATTGAAGGAAATTTCAACTTCAGGAATTCCTGGAAATAGTTGCTGCTGCATGAAAATCAGATGGTGGCATCAGTAGCAGTGAGCCCTCCAGTGACAACCAAAATGACTATAGTGAGATGCTGTTGGTGGAGGTGCATATTATGTTTCATTTTATCTTCTGTAATTCTAAAATTACATTGTTATGTTTTACAAGCTATCCAGCACATATATAGCATATGGTAAATCTAGTACTGACAACTTTTATACAAGTATGTGGTAAAGTAGTTCACAATATGCCTGTTTATTGGCATTTAGCTAAATCCTTTCATTAACAAAACTTGTACTGTGCTAAACAGGCACCTACCAACTGTCATTTGTGCAGTATAGCAGCGATGGGAAATTATAATATGCAACCAAGCCAGACACATACGAATTGTATTGGAATAATTTCCTTTAGAGAAATGTAAAGCATCAGTGTTCTTTGTCCCAAGAAAGAATATGCAAGGAATGTAGTTTACATTTTATGGTATCTCGCTATCTTCTATTTAGCTCTTTTTTTGAATCATCTGTTTATTTTCTATATTTCAGTATTAAGATTTTCAAACCAAAAAGCAGCCTTTGCATCATGTCTGATTGTTTGTTATTTCATTGGATGCTTTCTTAACTAACAGCAAATTACAAAAGCTATTTTGACACCAGAAACATGTCATGAAAGCTTACACATATCTCTTCTCCTATTCGGAATTCTCTTTGGTGTAACCCAGCCCTCTCCTAAAAGCCCTTCCAATCTGACAACATGCAGAGCCCAAGCAAGACTTTTTAAGCTGTCAGTGAGAAACAAACACTGCTGTTTCATTGCAAGGGAGCACTTTACACAAAACATACCACGATTGTACTTTCCAAGTAGGATGCTATGTAATGATCATCCTACTTAATTACCCTAGTTAGTAATATTTGCCTTCAATACAGACTACTTTGTTCTGTGCCTATGAGTTGCTGTGCTTTCTAGAGCTGCCCAATACTCTATGAAGAAGGTGATTCCAAAACAGGGAACTGCAAAGTGTTATTACCTTCTGTAGACCTGCCTGAAAGTGACTGTTGCTGCTTTTACTTACTCTCTGATATTTTTATAGAAAAATAAATGGGAGCTATCGCCCTGTTTTGAGAGAACTCTGAAGTGTCAAAGAATAAGATTGAAATAGAAATATTCAATTGGATCAGTTTTCCTATGATTAAAAACACAAGAGGAGAGGAGGAATTTCAGAGCACTGAGCAAGCGGAACTAACACATAGAGATTTTTAGCTGGCGACCTAAACTTGCTGATGTTTTTTGGAAGAGAGTTCTGTTCCCAGGTTGATGCGATATTCCCGCCCACAACTCTGACATGCATATAAGCTCTGGCTCTCCAAACTCCACTGCCAGTTCTCTTCGGGAACTAACTGCTATGGAGAGACTAAAGATGATTCCTTTCTTGCCCATATTTGCTGTCCTCCTGCTGTTTGTTGTTAACCCTGCAAACGCCAACGGTTATTATGACAAAGTCTTGGCTCACAGCCGTATCAGGGGTCGGGATCAGGGGTAAGTCAGTGGTTTTATTTTATAAACCTCTTTTCCCCTTTAGCTTACTATATACATATATAAGTGTACAAAAAGTTCCTTAAATGCAACTTGAGTTTTTATTCCCTTCTACTTGTTGCAAGATATTAAGAGCAGGCTAAAATGAATAGAACATTATGTATGTGTGCTTTTAAAAAAACGCTGTCATGCTTTCTATGAAGGGATTTGTTTTTGAAAATTTTAATTTGCAACAAGATTTAACAAGGTATGTATTTCTGATTTATTTCATTTCTGTCTTTATTTACTTCCAATGACCTAGGAATGTGGTTTTCCAAAGTAAAGAATCTATTCTTAGAAGCTATTGTAAACACAGTGAATGGCTGTGAAGGATCTCACATGATGTTAGTACAAATTTTACTTAAATAGTGTATTAAAGTTAATTAATGGTAAGATAACTTGTTCTTAGCTTTTTTTTTGTAGAGTAAGTAACTTTTAAATTATGGATTGTTTAAGATTTGCAAATAAAAATGAATTTCACAGGAAAACTGCCTCTACATCTTAGCATTTTAAATAATTATCAGATTCAATCAATAGTTTAACCAACCATTCTTATTTGTTTCTGGAGTGAATTCTAAAGCCAGAGGGGTTTTCATGACTTCGTAAAGCACCCCTCCCCCATGCCACACATGCTTCTCTTTGGGAGAAAACCATCCAGTATTGTGACAGCGTGTGTTGCAACTTATCCCTCCCATTCAGAGAACTGCGTTTTCTTTAGTGTGATCATTAATTAAAAGTGAATCGCAGCTCTCATTTACTTCCATAATCACTTACAAAATTAAAGTATCTTTGTACATAACATAACTCATCTTCTGCCTTCTGATCTCTCATATCAGAGGAAGTTAAAAACCAATCCATTCCCTCAGATGAGCACATGATTGGTTTGGTAAGAGTCCAAATATTATCCACTGGATGAGCTACCTTTGCATACATCTACAATACAGGAAACAAATTGCAGAAAGTTTAACTTGTAACTGTTATTAAAGGACTAGACTTCTGTGATAATATGAGGAAAATGATGTTCTGAGAAAATGGGGAGGGAGGAAATGCCCATACCTACAAAACTGTATCATGGAAAATATTAATCATGATGATAATAATCACAATATGATGTAATTAAACATGAAAAGGCAGTTACTATACATTTGATTCTGCTTGAAAAAAATGACTAGATAGGCTAGGTTTTTTAAAACACTGACATTCAACTTTTAGAAATGTAATTTCCTCTGTTTTGCCAATGTTTAACTTTACAAGGCAATCTGATTGGATCAAAAGTCAGGCTTGTGCAAGGCTGTGAAAATCAAATGTCTGCTTTTCAAATCCTTTTATTTTAAAAATCGTCTGACCTTTCATCGTAAAATGGTGACTTCAGTAGGACACTAACACTTTTTCCTTCCCTCCATCTTCCAGGCCAAATGTTTGTGCCCTTCAGCAGATTCTAGGCACCAAGAAGAAATATTTCAGCTCTTGTAAGAACTGGTACCAAGGAGCCATTTGTGGGAAGAAAACGTGAGTTCATCTTTTTCATAATGTGCCAGTTTTTGTGATATACATCTTCAGTTGAGTAATCACTATTGTGCTTGAAAATAACTTTGTAAGATTGTGATTGATTTTAAAGGAAGGGTCAGTAACCTTGATAAAGGGATTCTTCTAGCATCTGCACTTGTGCAAATGAGACTGAGAGGAGGCAGATCACATGACTACTTCGTCAAATGATGTGAAATCAGTATGATACCGGATGTCATTTCTATTTCTGGCTTACACTATTATAGGTGATCAGTTAAATTCTGTACCTGTGTCTTCATCTTTAATAATAAGAAGAATAAAAATGAGCCAGAAGAACAAACTGACATGAAAGATGCTGGCTTTCAAGTAAAAATTAATGGTTCCTCAAATAACCTAGAAATTCCTTAGGTACTCCAATTTAACTCAAATTTCTCACCTAAGTTTAAAGTTTGAAAAAACATGAGTTTCAGCGCACTGATTCCTAGGTCAAACTTTAGGTCCCATGTGGTCCATGAACATGATCATGGCAGCTCATTACCATTTCTGAGATTTCAACAGCCCAAAAGGATGGCTCCTTGGCTTGGTTATATATTTCACTACTTGGGTTTTCCTATCAATCTCACTCAAGTTGCAATTAAAGAAATCTTGAGAATCAGTATCTATGAAAAAGAATCTGCTTGTACATCAGAGTTTCTATTCCCCAAATAGAGTGGAAAATTGCTTTAAAACTTATTTCTAACCTAATAATGCTGATACAAATAGTCAATATGAAATTATAATCTTTCATAATCTTGCTTTGATAAATGAGTTAAATACATGTTATAGGATTCCTGACAAGATAAAATGAAATAATGAATCTGAAATTGCTAAAGTAATTATAATTCATAATATTAACTGTTTCTAAAATTAAAACTGTTTTGAATTTAAATACTACTGCATTGGTGGGAAAAGGAATGAGTGTGGGTCTATATTTAAGGCATAAGATTGCCTATATTTCCAAACATAGTTTCTACCAGGACTAAACCTGTACTAAACTGTGTCCCCCACAGAATTAATCACAGAAATTCACTATTTTTTTTTGTCCCTAGACATCTTTCCTACTGGTTTTCAGATATTTTTTATGTCTGAGTCATTCACATAATTGTAAGGCAAGTCAGTGTGGGCACTGTGCCCACTGTACTGCAAGCCAGGATCCAGCTGGAAACACTAACACTCTGGGTTCTTCTATCTTTACTCTTTATTTTCTTGGATATCACAAGGAATATTTGAGCTAAATGCCAAGTAGATATGAAAGGACATGCTCTCTAAAATTATGACATCTCCTTATTGCATCCTTTTGCAAATGTGGAGAACCAGCACTACATTGCTATCTAAATATTACATTAGAATCTAAACGTGATAGTCAAAATCGTGTTTACAAGATGTTTACTTTCTTTTCTCTAAAAGAAAGCTCAGCTATGAAGTTTGGATTTTTACCAGAAATGTATCTTCTTTGTTCAGTTATATTAGCTTATTTTCCCAGAATTAGCTCCATTTCGTCTACATCTGCACACTAAGTTCAAATGATATTTAGAAATAAGTTATAACCAATAATACTAATACAAAGACGTATGGCTTGACAGCTCTTTGTTTCTGCCACATTTAGGACTTCCTCTGTTAGTTGACAAAAGTATTTGTCTCCTGGACAACCAGTTGCTTTAGGAATTTGGGGGCAATAAATTGGGAAGCTCCAGTGAAAAAGCATGAAGCTTCCTAAATTTTATACATTACTAGCAATAAAAGTGTCTTGGTCCAGTGAAAGGATATTTTATATACTCCCCTCAAAGAATATCAGTAACATTTTCCATTGATATTTCATTAAATTTTAGGTACCATTTTTAAATTTTAGATACTAACTTTTCTGTTTTTGATAAATAAATTTTTACTTACTATTTTCTCTCAAAATATGGTGCATCAGAAAAGGCAGTTTGGGAAATATTTTTTTTTTCAATTTATTATTTGCTGCCTTCAGCAATACTATCTATCAATAAGAGTAACACATTGTTAACTATAAATAAGGTTATGTTCTCTTGACTAATTGTTTAAATTATGTTTTGAACTTTACAATTAAAATATTAGATGGTTTAATGTTAAATTTTGCTAATTAATATAATTTGTTGTTATTCATGTTGTTGATGTTGTACTCAACATATTAGTTAACAAAAGAATAAAGAAAACAGTATGATACTTGTCCTTTGGAGTCTGGTTTAGTTAAATAACCATTATGATCTTAGGTTGCACATTCGTCTTGCTGCAAATGATGGAATCTCATTCTGGTTTATGGATGAATAGTATTCTATTCTGTTTATGTCTCATATTTCCTTCATCCAATCATCAACTGACAGACAGATGACAGTCGGACATGTCTGATTTGCTTCTGTTGGAAAGTCCTCATCTACATTCATACAGGACACAGGTCTTTCTACTTTTGCTCGCAGAACTCTCTCTTTAGAGGAGCATTAAGCCAGTGATTAAGGAGAAAATCAAATTAAATTACCAAAAAATTTAAAAACTGGAAAAAATACAACTATATGCTTAGGCACATAGCTAGAAGTACATAAAAGCAGTTCTACAACATTAATAAATAAAAGGGAAAAGTAAAGCATTAGGTTTAGTATAATAAAAGTAATAACTCTAAGCAACATTTAACTGTAAAATTGTATTACTTCTTTTAGTTAGTAATGAGATATCAATTGTTGATTAAATGTATTAACATATTTTCTTCTGGTAGCCTGCATTTAACCAACATTTTAAGCTTCTGGTAATTAACAGAAAGATTTTAATATTTATTTCAGAATCTCAATTATCCATCGAGTAAGTTGTATCCATATTAAACAAATGCAGAGATGAGGACTCAAATTCACTAAATCTATTGTTCAAAATCACGTGGCTCCCTTGTACTGAAACTAAGATCCAGAGTTTTCATCCCTGTGGGTCAGGATCCTGAACCTTTTCTAAGGTACCAGAAGGCTGTAGAAGGAAACCAAACACCCAGATATTGGTGCCAGAGCAGAGAATCCTCCTTCTAGACTGTCACCACATCATGTAAACAAGTGATGTGTATTTGAAAGAGTGTGTTGGAACTTGTGTTTAGACTGTGCTATGCTGATATTTGTTTTCTTCCAATTGTTCAGGACTGTTTTATATGAATGTTGCCCTGGTTATATGAGAATGGAAGGAATGAAAGGCTGCCCAGCAGGTAAAAATGCCCATATTCTAAATTAGATGAGGAAATTGTTTTGTGTGAGGAAAAAGAGTTGGGAAAGCTTATAAAGAAGTGGTGTGTGTGTGTGTGTGTGTGTGTGTGTGAAGTGAGAGCCCTCAGCACCATCATACATTAAAATCTGGCTTCCTATAACTCTGACAATACCCAAGAAAAGTAGTCTATCTAATTCTTCTTTGAAATGAGAGGCATTCGGATATTCAGTGTCAATGAACACTCCTTTCCTTCAGCTACTCCTTCTTTCCAATACAAAGTTCTCTTGTCCAAGGTAATCTCACCAGCTCTTCAATGTGACATATACTGTTTAGCTGCTGTTAACATAGAGTCTGAATTTTGACATTTTCTCTGTAAGTAATCACAGCAACACTGCAAGCACAATCCATGAGACTGAGCATTTAGGGAGACTGAATAATGTCATTGATGACCATGTCAAATGATTACCTCATACAGGATCTGATAGCATGTAATTTAGCTGATTGCAACTTGTAGCTATTTTAGCATGAATGCATGAACACTCTCATGCAATTCTCTCTGCAAGACATTTTTGTTTCCAGTTTGGAATTAGGACTTAAGTGGAATCTTGTTCAATTCAACATTTTTGATTTGACTCTATCACCACATGTAAGTTCTTTTAAAAACCTAGACATGTAATTTAATCTACTAATCATGTCACCTTGTCTTGAGAGATTCTCAAAGGTAGCAATAATATCTCGTTTGATATTATCCAAGTTATACTGTTTTTATGTCAAAAGATATTAGGAAAATTAGTTTACTGCATAATAATGGATGAATCCTTGGCCATTCACAGGAATCTTTCTTCCAACATTAAGGAGGAATATCTTGGCGCGTTCAACCATATGAAGTATATCCTACTGCAACTGTGATTAACAAAAGCATCTGTGTATTCATTTTAGCAATCCAAATCTACAAATAATATAGTATAATATAAATAATATAGTATAGTATAATAATAGTATACTATTTATAATAATAGTATACTACTTAAGGAGTTTCAAACTTATATGATAGAAATGACTACCTTTCTCCATTGCAATGTTAATTGAAAAACACCTTTTCTTTCTTCTTGAATGAACTAGAGATATCTTTTGATCATGGTAATTGAACTCCTGCTGATACAGCAAAATGGGAACTAAATTTTAAAATATTTACAGTATGGTAGTTCAAAATTTGTTCTCTCTCAATACAAAAGATGTATGAAATAACATTTCTGATGGTATTTTATTATTTTGTACTGAACAGATAACTTTCTCCTAAAAGTGATGAGTCACGAGTTTCGATTACTAATATCACCAATTAAATATACTGCAGAATGTAGTGCAAACTTAACGGTTACATTTTTCACAGAAGTATTATCTTAAACACTTATTCTTTTTTTATGATTTCAGTTATGCCTATTGACCACGTTTATGGAACACTGGGCATTGTGGGAGCCACTGAAACACAGCGTTATTCTAATCTCTCAAAACTGAGGGAAGAAATTGAAGGAAAAGGATCATTCACTTACTTTGCACCCAGTAATGAGGCTTGGGCAAACTTGGATACTGTAATTCATGACTTTTATTTAATATACCTATTTTTATGCTATTGTAATTTCCTATCAATTGAATTGTAAACATTGGTATTCATATATACTTTATGTTGTTCTATGGTACATATAAAAGGAGATATAAGAAGATGAATTGTTGAAGGAAGGTTAGTTATATATATTCATAACTGTAATAATGCCCAGGTGTTTTTTTGAAGAAACAAACCATTATGAAGCAAATTGAAAATATGTTACTTCAAAAAACTAATGAGGAGGTAGAAGACAAAGAGCAAAGAGTGGAGGAAAATATTCTATCCTTGTATGTATGAAATTAATTAAATGGTTATCTATGCATTAATAATTCTTAAAATGTAATTTACAGAGGAAAAATAAATTGAATAATGATGAGCAGAGGTTATCCCACCCTTACCAATCTAAACTTTATCTATCCTTACAGTTCTATCTCTAACCTATTTTAACAGTAAATTTAATCTTCCTGATTTGACCTCTGAGGATATTTTTGTTTTTCCTTCTCTTGTAGGTCCTACAACATTTAATTTTGCTATGGCTCTGAGAAAACAAATTTTAAGAGTTAAATCTTTGTTTTGCTTATTATTGTATTTCTTACACCATGGAGTGCAACATAATATAATGTATGGTACTAGATAGATTAAATGATACAAGATGGTTTGGATTCTAAAGTTTGTGAATGAATAACAAAACACTCATGTTAAACTTTGTGTTACAAACAAACCACTTTTTTTTGTTTGTTTGCTATTTACATCATTTAACATATCATATAAAGTCATAATCCCTTGTGTTTAATTCACATCAAGAGTGTCCCCTTGTCAATATTTTCATTTAGAAAATTATTTTGCCTCTGAAAATATTAAAACAAGCTATTGGATTCAGAATCCTAAACTGAGCAACTAAACATATAAGATGCCTTAACCATTTGGAATAATACCTTTTCAAGGTATTTGAGTCAATTTTATGACCACCTGATAATACAATAAGAAAAAAAATGAAAGTTAGAAATGTGATTATCATAGAAATTTCAATAGTGAACCATAACAGAATAAACTTAGCACCATTTCATTTTCCCTAGGATATCCGTAGAGGCCTGGAGAGCAATGTAAATGTGGAGCTGCTGAATGCTTTACACAGCCACATGGTGAATAAGAGAATGTTGACCAAGGACTTAAAGAGCGGCATGGTTATTCCTTCAATGTATAACAATTTGGGGCTTTTCATTAACCATTATCCCAATGGGGTAAGCTTCATTAATTTAAAAAAATGCATGTTTCTTACTAGTATTTTTCTTTGTACCTGTAATAATATTCTCAGGGAATAATAAAATATTGATGAGAATAACTTAAATGCAATTATTCCTCAAATGATGTAAATCTGCATTCCAGCTACTGTTTTCAACCAGAATTATTGCAAAAGATAAATCACATTGGCAATTTGGCTTGGGTGCTCTCAAAAAGGAAATTTCAGTAATTGGTGTGTATTAGGTAATTTTTATACATAGCAAAAAATAATAGGAGAATGAGTGGTTTTATCATTATTCTGCCTATACTGATTGGGGCTCCTGTGCATTTGAGTAAGATTATTTGGAGGAAGATATCAAATGAACATAGGAGTCTATCAGTAGGATACCTAGAGACAAAAGGTCTGGTGACCCAATATTAGTAAGTCACTGTAATAGGCAGATTATATAACTATGTTTTTCTCACTCAGAAATTATTTTAACACCTATTTAACCCCCACCCCTGTGTAATTCATTCACTAACATTAGAAATGGTGTATGACTATATAAAAAAAGACTAGGAATAATAATTCAAGTGAAGGAAAAAACTTTGTTTTGTATTCCCTGGCATGTTACATGTAACTGGACTTACATTCTGTAGTATTTTCTTTTTTCATATATATAGAAATAAATAGGTCTTCATTCACAGCATTTATATTCACCATGTATGGTCTCGTACATAATAGGAAAAATCAAAGACTGGAAATGGATTGGAGTTTTTGGTGGCCTATGGACAGTCCTGATTGCAACACTTGATTTTCCTAAATGCTTACAGGTTGTTACGGTTAACTGTGCTCGAGTCATCCATGGAAATCAGATTGCAACAAATGGTGTTGTACATGTCATTGACCGCGTCCTTACACAAATTGGAACCTCAATTCAAGACTTCATTGAAGCAGAGGATGACCTTTCATCTTTTAGAGTAAGTACAAGAGCAGATTGTCTTGGATCATTGAAATATCTCCTCTTCCCCTGTAAAAATCTAAAAGCAATAAAAATGCCATTAAACAAATCTGGCAGAAATGTAGCAAATGTACTTCCTGACATGAAATTATTCTATTATATGCGTGAGCTATCATCTTCCGCTGTGAACTAATAGACATGATAGATTAAGAATGCTTATTATGTGACTGTGATATATTCCAATCATTTGGAATACATCTTTCTCCTTTACTATATGTATAGCTGGCTGTTGCCAAAGTGATAAAAACATTAACCAATTTAGCCAAGTCTTATCAATTTCAAAGCTGGTGTAAGGAAAGCTGCAATTTGGCTGTGCCAAAAATAATGTTTTAAAGACCTAATTTGAATCACTGTCAAAGTGAATAAATCAACTCCCTCATGCAAACCCAGGCTAAGTTGTCATTTTGCTTCTGATTTGCAAATACAAGACAATGAGAAATTCACTTGGTTTTCAGGCAGCTGCCATCACATCTGATATTCTGGAGACCCTCGGAAGAGATGGCCACTTCACGCTCTTTGCTCCCACCAATGAGGCTTTTGAGAAACTCCCACGAGGTGTACTGGAAAGAATCATGGGGGACAAAGTGGCTTCTGAAGGTAGGAAAATATTTCCTGTCTCAAAAATCTCCCAGAAGTTCAAGATGAAACCAAAAAGAAGAAGAGACCCTCACCAGGAGTAATGGCTTTGATAAGTAAAAGCAAGGAAAGCTTGCATTTGAAGCTATGCTAGAGAAAGTTGTTTAGAAAGTAGGAAGAGCATGATCTTCAAATGATGAAATGATGAAATACAAAGACTGATGTAGGGACATTTGTGTCAAGTGTCACGACGCTCCTAAATTTGGTTTGTGAAATATGTGGAATTTGTTCACTTTGCATATTTTAGATGAGAACGAAATTGAAAAACAATAAAATACATTAAAGATCAAATACTTTGGTGCTATTGTCAATGAAATAAGCGGAAGCATTTAGCAGGATTTGAGGGTATTTAAAAAAATACTGCATTGCAAATTCTAATATTGCAAATATATATTGCAGTACTTATCATTCTAAAGTTATGCTCAAATATACAATGGAGAAAGTCTGCACTTTCCTGAGCCATGACTTATTGATATATACAATGTTGTTTCTTTCAAGACTCATTCTGTTGTCAGATAGACTTTGCCTTTCATGTGCTCAGCCTGTCCTAAAATACATTTAACTCATTTAAAATTAGACATTTTGACAATGTAGGTGTTTACATTTAACATATTTAAGTCACAATTCCTCCCACATCTTCTTCAAGCAATCATTTGTATTTTGTCTGTTTTCATTTATATTTTGTCTTATTGTCTGCCAGCCTCACAGTTTATGTAGAGACATGTCAGGATGAACAGCTAACATGGGACACCTCTGTGCTGTTCTGGAACTCACAAAGAACTCCACAGGATGTCTGAAAAACGGATTCTTGTTTTTACATTGGAAATTACTTTCATAGAATAGCTGAAGCTTAATCTTTCCACATCATCTATTACTACAAAAATCATTTCCTGAGGCTCATCTTTTCGTTTTTTACTTCCTACCAGGCCAACCTCTTTCTATTGTGTACTTGAAAAAAGAACCTTCAATTGGCTACAATTTTATAAATTTTTGGCCAATTCTAATGATTTACAATTATATATTCTGTTTCTTAAGAAGAAATAAGAAAACACCCACACACACACAAATCCACATCTCTGAATGATCACATTATTTCTGTAGTTCTGAAAGCCCAATCCTTTTGATTCCAGCTCTCATGAAGTACCACATTCTAAATACGCTCCAGTGTTCCGAGGCCATTACCGGAGGAGCTGTCTTTGAGACCGCAGAAGGAAACACAATCGAGATAGGCTGTGAGGGAGACAGCATCACAATAAATGGCATCAAAATGGTGAACAAGAAAGATATTGTGACAAATAATGGTGTGATCCACTTGATTGATGAGGTCTTAATTCCTGATTCTGGTGAGTAGTAGCTTCACTTTATTTGTTTTACGTGATGTGTTTGACTCTTGATGGTATCTGCAATGCAAAAAATGTGAAAAAATGCTTATGTAGTCAGTCTAAGAGGGGCATGAGACGCACAGATACGAAATGAAAAGTGAGATTGCTAAGAACGAAATCATGGATGCCCAGGAATGCCCCATGCAGGGAAGTTTGGATTCCCAAGGTTTCTAACATTTAATATTTGTAATAATCTCTCCAAGCCCCAGAGATTTAAGGAAAATAGAACCAGCTGGTCAGCTTTGAATATCTGAGAATACTGTGACACCACAAGATGACAGGGAGATGAAAAGCGAGTAGTAGAGTATTAAAGAAAAGTATAGTAGGAAAATGGAAAGATATTTTCACTCCAAAATTCATTGCGATTACCAGACCCACAAATTGTAAGCTTGAATACACTCACTGAATATTGCTAGGTGTCTTATTACATTGGCATTGCAGCATTTCACGTGTTTAAAACCAGACGAGAACTGATTCGGTAATTTTGTGATGATTGGTGCAGCGGTGACAGTGTTGTGATGGGAATGGTTTCTTTTACAGCCAAACAAGTTTTGGAGCTGGGTGGAAAGCAGCAAACCACTTTTACAGACCTCGTGGCTCAACTAGGCTTGGCATCTTCTTTAAAGCCAGATGGAGAATACACTTTGCTGGCACCTATGAATAATGCATTTTCTGGTAGGTACTGGACACTGTCCTTCCCGTTCTCCCCCAAACACCTTTTGCCTTCATCATTGTCATCCGCAATCTTAAAAAGTGATGTTTTATAAGGTATTCATTAAACCTTACACTGGGTATACATAGAATATCACAGTATATTGTCTTCAACAAAATGTTTTTCATATTAAAGTATTTTTAAAAGGGTTATATTTTACACAGATAGAGAGACTTTATGATAAAGAGTGATAGCACTTCCAGTGCACATTAGGATACATTAAAATACATCTGAATATTTATTTGGCAACCCTTCAATCAAATTTAGGAATAGATATGTGCATTTTTATCTCCAAAATTCAACACTATATATCTAAAATTATAAAGAGAAAAAAGGCTATTTATGCTTTCCCACATTATGATATTATGATATGAAATTTTATATAGTATTTCATCTAGAAGTTATTACAGAGTTGTTTAAGTTAGCCCACTTTTTCCAGAAAAATAATTTCATAAGCAAATATTTACATTAGTAGGTAAAAATTTAAAATTTTAAAAAGTGTCACACAGTTTATAGTTTTCTGAGTATTAAACTGTGATGTAGGGAATCAGTAATCAGAAAAATGTTAATTTCTATAAATATATTTTCCTTTTTATTACAAAAACATCCATATATTTTGACAGTAGCTAATCTTTTAGAGGATATGTGCTTAGATTCTAACAAAGATGAATGTATGAATCAAAAACTGATTCACTGTATGACACTGTATCATGTCACAGTAATCACCACAGGCCCCAAATCCCACGGAATAATTATAATTATTTGGCGCAATATGTAACAGCTTCTAACTGGCGCATTGAATTGTTAGAATTCAGCATTTCTTTGACTCATGCTTTACGAATACAGGGTTCATGGTATTCATAGTACCAGAGATCATCCCTTTACATGATTTTCATCTAGTAAAAGATATTTTGATGTTTTCTACATAAAGATCTTTCTTGATGAATTTATTTACAGATGATACTCTGAGCATGGATCAGCGCCTTCTTAAATTAATTCTGCAGAATCACATATTGAAAGTAAAAGTTGGCCTAAATGAGCTTTACAATGGACAAATACTGGAGACCATAGGAGGCAAAAAGCTCAGAGTCTTCGTATACCGTACTGTAAGTGATTAGAGTCTGATCAGATACACACTGGCCTTAATGTCCGATGGATAGGAATGTCAAAGAATGATGTAACAGCACACTTTTCAGGATTCATAAATGTATTTTTAATAGATAATACTCACAGGAAGTTCAGAGAACTTGGTAGCTTGAGTGAACATAATGTGAAGAAAACAAAACTTCTGTGTAATTGTAATCCAGATGGTTTGCATATCTTACATTATAAATGTGTTCTATTATGTCCTAAAACATTAGTTATTCATTAATTCGAATTGTAAAAAATATGAAAACTTCTCTGGATTAGGATAGTTTTTTAACACAGTTTGAGAATTTTTTCCGCTGTACAAAATGGTTGTAAAGTAATTTTAGAAATTCCGCTTATCAAAAATACTGTACAGCTAGTACTAGTATTGCACTTTTGTGCAAGGGACAAGCATGGTACAGCTGAAAGGGACACAGAAGCTGCTCATCACAATACAGTCTCAAATCATGCACTGAAATTATAAAATAGATTGGCTTTATACATGTACATACATTTGTTACAAAAACTAGAAATTTTACTATACCAATTAGTTGCAATAAAGAAGATATATTGAGTACTTATCGAGACCACAAGAGGGAATGAAGTGAAGGAATATTACAGTTAATATAGCCTAAGGAAGGTGTAAGAAAATAGATCTTAGCATGGATGGAAAAGACAGCAGTGGAATTCCATTTCTTTCTTATTAAGTTTTGGCAAAACTGCCTAATTTATGGATTGACTAGCTTGACTAGTAATAGCAAACTTAGATGCATAAGAAAACTGGCCAGAATGCGCAAGCTATTGACAACAGAAGACAGAAACTCTTTACTGTGGCCCCAGAGGTTGGGAGTCCCTTTTGAAAAGCCAATCCAGAAACAATTCCCCCGGTTAATCTACCCAAGAAGTTCAGCAAAGAAGGCAACATCACGCATCCTTCTTTGCTTTCCTAGGGCGTCTGCATTGAAAATTCATGCATGGTGAGAGGAAGCAAGCAAGGACGAAATGGTGCTATTCACATATTCCGGGAGATCATCAAACCAGCAGAGAAATCTCTCCATGAAAAACTGAGACAGGACAAGCGCTTTAGGTAAGCTCATCATTTGCACCTTCACAAAACAATGGATGAAAATGATTAAATGATTAAATGCAATTAGACTGATCCTATTTTGCTTTAAGAATGTCTAAATTTCTTTGTATTAAGAAATTGAAGGAATGCATTGTGTATTTAAATTACTTTCCTATGATCAAATTTTGTTACAGGGAAACTGCATATGAAATGAAAAAAACATATGAAACATGTTTCCACAATACATGGATTCTCTTCTCTTCTCTCCTGTCCTCCTCTCCCCTACCATTACTCCTTTCTGCCCTCCCCTCCTCCCCCTTCCCTTCCCTTCCCTCCCATCCCCTCTTCTCTCCTCTCCATTGATGGTGAAATATCTAAAGCTGAATCTGACATAATAAATGTATTCCTTTCTGTACAGCATATTCCTCAGCCTACTTGAGGCTGCAGACTTGAAAGATCTTCTGACACAACCTGGAGATTGGACTTTATTTGCCCCAACCAATGATGCCTTTAAGGAACTTACTAATGAAGAAAAAGAAATTCTGATCCGTGAGTAGAACTGTATATTAGACAGTTGGCCCTTCCCTTCAGAAATTGCTCCTCAAGCCTTCCTGCCCAGATGTCTACGAAGTGTCCTCATGGGTGTTTGGCATTGCAAGGGATTCCATGATCTCCTTTCACAGCGCCTGCTTTTTCCTTTGCAACCAGGCTTCCTACTAATGTACATTTTGCAAGGTTGTGGGAAATGACTTGAGCATTGGGTTCTCTGACACTCACATGGTTTCCACATAGCCCAGCCCTACTTATTGCAGTCATGTAAAGAGCCAATCAATGGATTGAAATTTTCTCTTCTTTTCATTTTTCTGCATCCTTCTGTCTCTGTATCTTGCAGAGAAAATTTAAATAAATAAATAATTTTTAAAAGTACCTTTTCAGAGCCAACATCATGGTATAGTACTTCAAACTGGCTGCCTGTAACACTGGAATCCCATATGGAACTACTCTTTGCACAGCTGGCTACTCCACTTAAGATCCAGCTTCCTGTTAACATACCTGAGAAGCAGAAAATGATAACCGATATACTTGAGTCCTCTGTCACTGCTGGAGACCCAAAAAGGTTTTCAGGCTCCTCACATTGACCTGGCCCAGCACTGGCCATTAGAGACATTTGGGGAGTGAACTTCTTTCTCTGTCTCTCCCTCTCTCTGTCACTTATCCATGAAATTAAATAAATCTTTAAAAAATGTCTTTCATATTTATGGATAGCTGGGGCTTCTTTTAATTCTATTTCAAGCATTCAGAGCATCACTCTTTAATATCTTTTTACAGCTTACAGCCAGGTAGTTGAGTATAATGTTTACTTATGCTGCTTGTGTTAGAGATCAAAAATTGTTAATAATGAATGTATCAAAAATTCTCTGATCATTTGAAGCAAAAAATCTCCTGAAACAACCTGGACATTAGATTTCATTTGCTTCAATAATATTATGAGAAAATAAACTATGGGAATATTTATTTGGTGTCAATTCTACTTGATAACAGTAGTGTATTCAGTGGCATAGGAAACATCAGGCTCAATTTCAAAAATAATTGGTTTGCTCCAAGAAAGTTGAGTAATAACTTGGTTGACATGACTTACTGGTATGTTTTGACTGATATCACCTTTAGAGAATAATGAAATAAGAAACTATGGTATGGAAAAATAATGGTGAAAATAGTCGATCCCTTAGTCCTTTACTATGAAAATGTCAGACAATAAAATGTATAATTGAGTGAATATGTATTTTTTCCTGTAGGGGACAAAAATGCTCTGCAGAACATCATCCTGTATCACCTGACTCCAGGAGTTTTCATCGGAAAGGGCTTTGAGCCTGGTGTTACTAATATTCTAAAGACCACACAAGGGAGCAAAATATATCTGAAAGGAGTAAGTGTCTAGAATGAATTCATGGAAATGTTCATCTATTAGTAAGCTATCTTGAAGTCCACTCTTCAATAAAAATCTCGTTGACATCTCCTACTTTGTCAGGTTAATGATACACTTCTGGTGAATGAATTAAAATCCAAAGAATCTGACATCATGACAACAAATGGGGTCATTCATGTTGTGGATAAACTCCTGTACCCAGCAGGTCAGTATTGACTAGAATCATTAATAGGTTATTTTTTTTTCAATGAAACTGACATATATTTATTTCACATTTTCTTACTGATCATCATTTAATGATTCTTTTCACAGACATACCCATTGGAAATGATCGGCTGCTGGAGATACTTAACAAACTGATCAAATACATCCAAATTAAGGTATAAATTGTGATTAGATATTTATAATATGTTGAATAAACATTGCAGGTACAAGAAAAAAGGCAAGAAATAGATATGCATCCATAAATATAAATAAAGTTGGGTTTATTCTATCTTGCTTTTGTACCATTGGCCCACCTGCAAAAAAAAAAATGATAAATGTCTTCATGTTTTTGATCAACAAACACGTCATCAAAACTACTCAAGATCTAATAGTGTTTTGAGTGTTATAGAAAACATTAAGTTAAATTAAAAATGGCTTTTATTCAGTAAGTTTCTGGTCTAGTTGGAAAGATAAGAGCAACATTTAAATAACTAAAACTGTTATATCATCAAATATCTTTTGCTATTAACTGTAATGAAAAAATAAATAATTCAATCATAATTAGTCACTAATTACATCAGAATCAAAGGAATACTTTAATTATTTGTTCTTTTAGAATCAAAGATACAAAAAGCCAGGAATAAATTTAATAGTGTAGGTTAAACTTTGGATTATTTATTGAGCAATTTTTAAATTTCCCCACAGCAAACCCAATGATTTTTACACCGTCTAATCTGATAACAAATAGTTGAAAGATGATGCATGTGAAGACTTCATTTATATAAAGCTTAGTAAGAGCTACACTATTTCAAAAACAAAAAAGAATTACACTATTTCTTCTTTAATAAGTATTGTACTAGTGCTAAGCTTTTGCTAATAAAACAACTACATGTCATGTTACTAATAAAAATATTTACTTTCAGTTTGTTCGTGGTAGCACCTTCAAAGAAATCCCCATGACTGTCTATAGTAAGTACATGTCAAATACTTATCCCATGTAAATGGCAAGATGCAAAAAGTAGAACTAAAGTGATAGCTTTCTTTGTATTTGCAAATTTGATAATCTGGTATTTAGAGTAACAAACCTCATTGTACTCGCAGATGGACTTGATACCTCTGAGACGTGGCCAGATTTCAATGAATGCCTTCCTTATTTATTGGTGGGGAAAAAAAGGGATAATAGTATCAGGATGTAGGGAAGAGTGCCACAGTAGCATGGTGCACAAAGGGAGTCCAAAGGGAAGGAAATGCAAAGAGAAGAGGTACTAAAAGGGTACTTTGGAGTCATTGCAGTTCCAACAGACTTGACACCCTGCTCACAAGGCTTGAGCTATCTCAGGAAAGGGTCTGATGCAAGTGCTCTGGAATTCCAATGTTTGCAAGACAGCAACTCGGAAACTGTTTCCAAAATTGAGCAAAGGATTCAAAATTTTGTCAGCTGGTCAGCCTAAAGTTTCTATGTTACAAGGTTATTTATCCCTAACATTACCAGATTATCAAAATTAAGTTCCTTAAGAATGGTGCAATGTATTTTACTTTCATCAATGTAACACACAGACTACTTTTCTCAAGAATGTTTATACTCTATCTTCCTTCTTTCATTTCTTTCTTTCAAAGCAGAAATTCTTTTCATTTTGTTTTGGCTCTATAACTGAATACCCCCAAATGTATAAGTAGGTGAAATACGACTTCAATCCTCGCATTGATATTGGCTAGAAAATTATTCTATTTTGTATCATGGACATCCAGTTATTTAATTTAAAAAAAAAATTCCTTCTTTTTATAATAGATATGGAAAACCAGTAGAGTCGACATAAGGAGCAAAACAAAATGACTGCTACTTTCATTGATTCAAATTATGTAATAATAAGATACAATTCCAGTATCAGGTCAATTCAACACTCTTTTGAGGAATTAGTTGGTATGTTTATGATTCAATATGGTATCAATGCCAGCCTGAAAGAATAGCATTATATTAAGAATATATGTTATAACAAATTAAAAAAATGCACATGGGCTCTATTCATCAGACATGTTATGTCATTTTTTTCTTTCCAAAACACATATCTGCACAGGATTTCTTTCCCTTTGCTACTTTATCCATGAAATTTCCACCATTTAAAATACAGGGTAGAACAATAGTTTGTTTGCAATGAGACAAGATATTATGGAATTCCCTAGTTTCCTTTACTTGCATTGTACTCTCATTCACAGAACACAAACCATATTTTCTAAAATTATAAAAAATGACTCATCCTTGAAAGACCTGTGATTTTCATGTCTGTGTTTAATTTTTCTTTTATTCCTGCCAGGATGCACATACTGTTATTGAAAAGCATTATCAAAATATAGGTAGAGACCTAATACAACAAATATTTTTGTTTTCATGTCCTTTTGTTCATTTGCCTTTAAAATTACTTAATTGCACAAATAGTGTTGCCCCCAAAATACAATATATTCTAAATTGCATGGGAAGCTATACACTTCAGTTTAAGTTGTCAAATAATACATTTGCAGTAAAAAATATATAGGTATATATATATTTGTGTGTATATAGATAGATAGACCAGTAAAACTTTAGAGCATGACCTGTTGAAACTATATATCCTCAGAAAAGCTAAGCTGAAACAGTACCACAAATCAACCAAACAACCTGGACTCCAAGCTCCCTAAACCTTTTAAGCAAAAATATTAACCCATTAAGATAGATTGGAATTCTCTTGTGTATTTGATGGTCACAGGATGGTTCCTTTGTAGGCAGGATGCCTGTGGAATCAATAAAGCAGAGCTTCATAGTTTGAGATCTCAAGACATAAAATTAAATGTGACTGTAAAACAGACTCCACTCAGGCCCTAACCACAATGACCCACAAAGTTCATTCAGCTCACCTTGGAAATATGAGGTTAGACTGTGACAGGAAACAATGCTGTGCTTATATCTCGCCTGTGATGTATGACAACACCTGTTATGACTGCAGAGTAAGCTTTAATGAAGCCAATTATCTAATGGCATATATTATTTAAAACTTGCAATTACAAACAGCAAAAAATCAGTATTTCTGGCTGTGTAAATCCAGAGGCACATTTTCAACCAAAGCCAACTAGCTATCCTCTGCGAGCATTTAAAGTAAACTCAGCATTATTATCTTACTGGGATAAATGATATACACTTAAAATGCATGCCTTTGGGGTCCACTGTCGTGTGATATCAAGTAAAGCTGCCACCTGTGGCACTGGCATCCCTTATGGGTGCTTTATCAATCCCAGCTGCTCCACTTTCATTCTTGCTCTCTGTTAATGTGCCTGGAAGAGCAGTGGAAATCTGTGCTTAGTCTCCTCCACTCAAATGTCAGACCTAGAGGAAGCTCCTGGTCCCTGTCTTCAAAGGGGCTCAACCTCAGCCTTTGTGGCCATTTGGGAAGGTGACCCAGCTGATGGAAGATTTTTCTCTATATATTTCCCACTCTCTCTCTCTCTGTTACTCTGCCTTTCAAGCAAATAAATCCTTTTCTTTTCTTTGGTTATTAATTTATTTCTTTTAAAATTGGATATATATATATATATATTTTTTTATTAATTACATTGCATTATGTGACACAGTGTTATAGGCACTGGGATTCCCCAAACCCTCCCCTTATGGTGGATTCCTCCACCTTGTTTCATTACCACAGTTCAAATTCAGTTGAGATTCTTTCATTGGAAGTATTTACCAAGCATATAAGCCAGTTCAAACTGCCTGAAAAACAACCAGGTTCAGCAAAATCATGCTTCAACACTATAAACAGCTAAATACTAAAATGAAAATAGACACGAGACAGCTGAATAGGAATCTATAGCCATTTTAAGGTATATAGATCCCGGTTGTATATAAACCAAAATTGAGATGTGTATGAAAAAGTCACAGGATGTGGTTAAGAACCTGCATTTTCCTTTAAACATATTGGTTAATCAATACCATGTCAATTAATACCATAAAGTTGCAAATTGTTGCTGATGTTATGTTGGGGCTTTTAATTGATTGGGATGATACTTTGCCGGCTCCACCTTCAGACAAGAGATGGTCTCTCCAAGAAACCGTAGAATTTACCAGGATTATATAATTTTTAATGGTATTTAAACAGTTGATCAGAATGGGAATAAATAGCAGTTAGGAAAAAATGAATGTAATCATTGTATCCTAATTTTCTGTTTCTTCTTCCTGTATCTGGAAGAGAGAACATAAGGACAGAAGCCATACCCAGCCTCCCAACCAGCCCAGCACCCAGTGATGGGAAATGTTCACCTGATATCAACCCAGAGTCCCCAGTATGGCACATACTTTGAGGGTTCTGCCTAAGTGGTTTTGCTAGTCTTGAAATGCTGTCAGTCTCACCGATCCAAGGGTGAGGAACCCCTTCCGATGTCCATTGTTTGACATAGTTGAACTTAGAGTGTTCACCCAGACACTTGCTGTCATTGTTTGGCTGGGGTAGTTGTCCAGTCTGTTCTTTCCTCCTTCCTCTGCTGTTACCAGATGTCCTCTGCAAGCTCCAATGGGCTGCCACATCATCTGGGTCAGCCATCCACTGCTCCATCATTTCCACTGACGAGGCCTAGCTCTGACACATTAACTTCAGGGTCAGACTTCCAATTCTGAACCTGACACCCCAGATCCTTGCACGCCCCACCTATGCCATCATCAGACTCTGCAAATCCACATACCAGATCTCCACTATAGTGCCCCTGGGAGGCCAGTGAAGTTGCCCCGTTGCCCCAATGCCATTTGCATCCTGAGCCACCCACCCAAAATTCTACAGGGCCCTTCATCCCCAGGACTCATGGACCCAGAACCCACCATGCAGGTGGGCCCAGGGACCTCGGCCAGGTGAAGCAAGCGTCACTGGAAATGCATACCTTGAAATTTTTAAATGATTGTGAATTTTAAAATTAAAAAAAATCTTAATCTATAATTTAAATGCCAAAGCATACCATATTTGTTGCATAGAGCTCATGGCTGGTTGGTTCAAATCTGTTACTTTTAAGAATTCTGAACTATTTTTTCATACTTTCCTTTCTACATTACCATTTTCGGATGCATGGACAACATTTGAGGGGTATTTCTTTTGTTTTCATTGAGAGAATTCAACAATGCAATTTATGATACTATGAATTGCATGAATTTAATATTTGTCTTCTGTTGCTATGCAGCCAATATTTTCAAGAAGTACAAAAGAAGATAAACAGTTTTAGCAGTGCAGTTCAAAATGACAGATTTCTAGGTAGAATGTCTCAGTGACTACATATCTCACAGGAACAAATCCAAGTCATTGGACTTCAGAATTCAACAGCCAACACAAGAAGATGCTAATTATGTACCATGAATAGTTCCTGGATCTGACTGCTTGAACATTTATCATGTTTGATACTTTGCAGCCTTAGAAAGACAAAATAAAAAGGACAACCTTGTATAGGTTATTTTTATGCAAACATCATTCATGTTCCACTTTCTATACTTACAGCAACTAAAATTATAACCAAAGTTGTGGAACCAAAAATTAAAGTGATTCAAGGCAGTCTTCAGCCTATTATCAAAACTGAAGGTAAAACTCAATGTCATGCAAGGCTTCTTTCATTTTGAAAGAAATCCATATAATATACTGGTTTCTATTAGTATATCTACATTCTTTTAAAAAACTAACATGCTAAATATTTCTATCCAATGGCATGCTCATGTAATTGCAGAATGTGGAGTACAAATTACATCGCAAAGTTGATGGTGCATTCCTAATACTTTCAGTACATTTGCTTGTACCTGATTTAATTTTAATCTAATTCATTTTGTGTTAGCACTAATACCCAGATATTGACTAAGCAAGAAAATACTGGGCTCCCCCCGCTCCTTTTTAAAAACAATATCCTGCAGAAAATAGACAACAGTTTCGACTTTATTTCCAAATCCCTGTTATTTGTTTTTCTACCATTACAGAAATTCACGCTAATACGTGTAGGCATTTTTCATTTACCAATGCAAGAGAAGATAGCAGCTGTTCACCTGACAAGATATGTTTTATAACGAGAAAACATGAAATAGAAAAGGAAATATATCACAATGAGAATACCATGAATATTCTGAATATATCCTCCTTTGATAAACACACATTACATGTACATATATATGTGCATGGATTTCATGTGTATCAATATGCATCTATTCTTCTTAGACAGTACAATGTTAAATAAGAAACAAGCTTTCTTTCTAACTTTAATTTATGTGACAGACAAGTTCAAACTTTTTGGAGGAATCTTTATTTCATGTATTGTAAGAGTCTCTGTGGTTAAGCATCTAATGTAAAGTTTCCCATAGAAAAAGACCTAGCAATTTTCTTTAGACGGAAGAAACAATCCTCATAGTAGAAGTAGATCGTCTTTCTTTGAATCTCAAGAACACTATTACTATTATCTTCTATTCAATATTTCTTTTCATTCTGTTGATTGAGTTGTCAATTCATTGAATAGTTAAGTCTGTTCCTCTTAGTCCTAAGTTCAAACTTAAACATTGAAGCAGCGTGGGTCCAGGCTGCTTTCCTCCCTCATTCTTGAGAACAAAATTGAGTTACTATGTAAATTGGTGCTAGCTTTTCTTGTAAAATCTATACTTATAATCATTTGATCATTTTTATGTTTATGAAGACTTTCAGAAGAAATGGAATTTTAGAAAGTATTTTATATAAATGTTTAATGATCATCTGGATGAAAATCAACCAAATAATCCCTGGCAATACAATGAATTTTTAAATCATAGATTTTAGAAATTCACTCCCTAAAGTTCTGCATCATAACCTCTGTAGCTTTTATATCTGAAATCTTTTACTTGTGCTATTTTTCTTATTTTCAAAGGTTTCTTTCTCTTCCAATTTTCTTCATCTTCCCAATCTTTTACAGCAAGGCTCTAGTACTTAAATCTTTCTTCGCTTAGAACCATAGTGAATCCTCATTTCTTAGTTTTTCTTATGAAAAGGACATAGATTAAAGTTGAGAGTGACAATATAACTCTTCAGTTCTAAAATTCCGACTCTGTTCCATGGACCCTAACAAAGACGTCAAATATTTGCTTTGGCAGCCCATCACAGTTTTTTAGTTTCTAAGAGGGCTGCAAACAATGTCTGATTGTTTGAACTTGTATGGATTTATTACATTTAAATGACTTGAAGACACAAATTAAGATGTTTCTTTAAGAAATTCTGAACAAATTTCCATTTAAGGATGAATCAACTGGAAATTAACAGGTAATTATTGAGCACCTCTTGTGTTTTATACCTCCTGGATGTCCTAGAAATTGGAATGAGATGCTTCAAAAATTACTTGTCTTCACACTCTAATTTGTTGAGGATGCTCCTCCATCTTCAATTTGGCTTATGTAATGAGATATTGATTTGCTTTATTATCTTGTTCTTAAATTCCTTAAGCACACTTTCTTTTAAAATCACGTTATATTAAAAACCAGACCCTCTGCTTCACACTGAATATCTCTGGCCATGATAGACCAAACATTATAATGTGAAACATTTGTGATTTGAAAGCATTGCACTCGTGTTTTTATTATTTTACATTGTTTTGTTTAATTCTGGGTAATGGTGAATATTAAAAATTTAACAGACAAATGTTTCTCCTAAAATAAACAAATGTAGTATTACTCAACTATAGAAGCATAACACAGTATGAGTTAAATGTACTGAATCTTATTTTATTTACTCTCATTTTAAATGGTCTTGATTAACTCATATAGCAATCAGCTTTCTAACATTCAAAATGATTTTCTCTATGAGCAAAATCATTTTGCAAGTCAAATGCAACTTATTTAACTTTTGCATTTGAAGGACTAATCATTAATTAGTTAATTTTTGCATCATTCACATATGAAAGGTAAGTACTAATATGCAATTTTCCATGGAGCCATCTTAAAGAGCATCTTAAAGGTAGGTACAAAGTTGAAATTTTTTTAACTTTCCATCCTATGTTTTATTAGATTAATGAATTAAAAGTATCTAGTGATTCAAAACTGAAATGTACCAGTATCATATTAGGAAAGAATAATAGATAATCAGTGCAACAAATAAAAGTATGTACTGATTAACATTAGAGCAACTAAAATTGTAGATAGTATTATTCACAAGACATTGCTGACATAGTATTTGGTCTGATCACACTTAACAACGACTAGTGAGATGAGTTGATATATCACTAAGCCCTAATGTAGATGAAAAATATTGCACTGACACACCAGCAAGCCGAGTCATTTGCTTTTATCCATAAGTACTATGTGAAATGCTTAAAACTGATTTCCTAAAGGCTAAAGCCAGTTGGACATTTAAATAACAGCAATTGTTAAAATATTTTTCTCTTCTGGTATATCTAAAGTACAGGTATAACGCAATAACTTGTCTCCTAACATAATGTCTCAGGACCCAAGATAACCAAAATCAATATTGAGGAGGATCCTGAGTTCAGCCTGACGAAAGAAGGTGAAACTGTAACTGAGGTGATCCATGGAGGTGAGTTCATGTGAAGGCCCTGGTGCCTGGTGAGCATCACCGACTACTTCAAGAGAACCATGGTTTATACATATTGGACATCGGATGCATATTCTCTCTTGGGTTTTATTTTTCATAAGTTGCAGGAATCTTTTTCTCAGCTCTCAGTTCTTACTGGTAGAGATAAAAGGTTGCTTGCCTCTTAGTGGATCCATCTGGAATTAATTTGACCATTTACTCATCAGATATAATGAAAGCTACCATTTCTTCTGCAAATGCACTTGAGGATTGTGAAATATAAGAATAACAGAAATATCAGTGCACAAGGGCACACTAAGTCCAGACACAGAAAAAAAATAGAAGTGGGGTCTGGCATGTTAGCCTAGTACCTAAAGTCCTCATCTTACATGAATTGATATCCCATATGGGTGCCGGATCACATCCTAGCTACTTCACGTCCCATCAAGCCTGAGAAAAGCACTAGATGACAACCCAAAGTCTTGGGATCCTGCACCCATGTGGGAGACCTGGAAGAAACTTTTGACTCCTGGCTTTGGATGGGATCAGTCCTGGCCATTGCAGTCACTTGGGGAATGAACCAATGGATGGAAGATCTTTCCCCTTCTCTCTGTAAATCTGCCTTTCCAATAAATAAATGACTAAATAAATAAATAAATCTTTAAAAAGTCATGCAAGGCTCTGTTAAACAATTGCTAGGATTTGTTACAGGGTTTCCACTCCAATAATGGGGAATTGGTATACCAGCCAACACTCTCCGTAACCTGAGAAAATTGCCTGTTAGTATTCCATTGATATGATTTTATTTAAAGTCTGTTCCATAGTGATGATGATTGAGCTAACTGGCATGTTTTGAGCAATATACTTAATCGTTAATATATGTAGCTAAAGAAAGTTTAGACACCATTTAAGCCATTCCCTAAAAAGACAATTATGTTTTCTCTATTTTGCAGTAATTAATGTACAGTACATAAAGATGATATATCTGCGCAAAATTAGTGTATTGGGATTTAATCAGGGTTGATAACCCTTGCACATACTCTTGTACAAACTCCTGAGAAAATAATTGTTGAATTTGTTGTTTAGTAGAGTATTAAAATTATTGTTATAAAGCAAATTGAAAGTATGTCACCACAAAAATAAAGAAAATAAAAAAGGAAAGAGGAGGGAGAGTGGGAAGCACTATTATGTTCTGAAAACTTTAAAAGAAATATGTTCCCTTTGATGTAAGTAAATAATAATAAAAAATTTAAAAACAACATGAATGAAAAAAATAGATGGATGAAGTGTTTTCTTTCCTTTCAGAACCAATTATTAAAAAATACACCAAGATCATTGATGGAGTGCCTGTGGAGATCACTGAAAAAGAGACCCGGGAGGAACGGATCATTACAGGTAAATAATTCCACTCTAATTCATAGCCAAGCTATGTGTTTGCCCTGTATATAGAAATAGATCTTGCATAATATAGTATGTTTGCTTTACTCTTTATTATTGAGTTATTAAGCTGTAAAGGAGAAATTATTTCTTCCTTTGAGTTTCCATTAGCCATATTCTCTACATCTATACAACAAAACAAATTCAAGTTTGTATAGAACGTTTGATAATTTTGGTAAACCTGTGTTATCAATCCTCCATGTAAGAATTATCTTAATTAGCATTCTAAATTCAGCTATTCTATAAGTATACATTTAAATCGATAGCAAGTATATTTTATGCCGCCTACTCACATGAATAAAGGTTGATTTGGACACATTCATGTCCATTCATTTATGTAACAATTATGATTGCTTTCACTACAACACAGTGTTGAACTGTGACAAGCCAGGCCATAATAATTATTCCCTGGCCTTTCACAGGAGAAACTTGCCACTCCTCCTTTAGATCTCATAAAATTTTCTTTCCTTTAGGGCCTGAGATAAAGTACACTAGGATTTCTACTGGTGGTGGAGAAACAGAGGAGACTCTCAAGAAGTTATTGCAAGAAGGTCAGCCTGCCTAGTGAAATAAAAATATGGCCTTACCTAAGCTGCCTTGTATCAAAATCTGAAACAATCTTCCTGTTTTTTACTCTGTAATTCCTATGTTGAAGTTCCACATCAACAGCAGAAATTTTCCAAAAATATGGAGTTAAGCATCAATGGCAGTCATGTTGGTTGCTTCCTAAGAGGTTATGCGATTCTTTTGTAAAAAAGGAAATCAGCACATTTAAAACATTAAGCTTTAAAAAAAAACAATGTTGGTCTGGAACTCACAACTGGGCAGAAACATATCAAGTCTCCTATCTTTTCATTATGTAAACAAATTTTTGCTATAAACATGTATCCTCTCAGAGGTCACCAAGGTCACCAAATTCATTGAAGGTGGTGATGGTCATTTATTTGAAGATGAAGACATTAAAAGACTGCTTCAGGGAGGTTAGTAAAAGGACTACACTAACCCCCTTAACAGGTTCTGGTAACGGAGTTCAACTTTTTAAAGACTGAGCAGGCAGGTTTTTATTTTGATTGGGTTAAAATAAGACCATAGCAGGCATTGTCTAGATAAATCAATTGGTTTTATAATTTAAGTGATATCTATGAAGAAGTGATTTCTAGTTTTAAAAGTCTTTAAAAAGTTCTATAATCTAAAGCTTGGGGCAATGAATAATTTTTTTTTCATTTTTTAATGGAGATAATTATAAGGGTATTTTAAGTGTTTTAGTAACAGGACATACACTTACTTCAATTGCTACCCAAAATTGATGAGATTTTTATATTTCTTAAAAATTTATTCACTGCCCCCATTACAGCAATGCAGGCATGTTTATGGATTTTGTGAGTGCATAGATACAGCAAAAAAGCAGTGCATTTAGTAACTTTTTCTTCCAAAACTTTATTCTTGGGAATGAAAATATATTTCTTCTAACAATTTGAAGTGACAAAGTATTCTTGCATTTGTAAATTTAAAATTAATCATAAACTTTAAAGTATGGAATGTTTTCGGTTTATGGCATCAAATGAACCTAATTTAAAACAAAAGGATAAAAAAAAAGAATTCAAAATCTTATACAACGCAAGTTATAATTACCCCAATAATTTGAAAGTGGCAATGAAATAGAATAAAATTTCGACATTTGTGACAAAAAAAATTGTTAAGCTAATTTTTTAAAGAAATAAATATTTAAATTATTTATTAATAAAATACATTCTTCAGGAAACACTACAATTTGTGAAGGGCAACTATATCATAGAATTATAAAACAAATGATTTGCTAGTTATAATTTTTAAAATTGTATCTCTATTCCCAAAATGAAATAGTTTCTCTTGAAGCTTTGTGTAACTTCAATTATTGTTTCCTTATTGTAAAATAGAAAACATCCTTAAGTTTACAGACTTGCCAGTGTAATGAAACTTATTTTATTCGACTATTGATTGTATTTGCCATCCATGGAAATAAACATGTCTGTGAAAACACAAAAGAACATTTTTCAGAACATAGAAACCATATAACATATCCAAAGCCACAATGTGACTGTAGATGCTTGTAATACAACATACATAATTCATCTTCTGTCCCCGAGAGCTTAGCTCTCTGCTGGAAAACCATCTAAACATTTGAGAGAAGAGGCAAGTGCATATGAAGATTAACTTGAATTCTTTTTTTTTAGTCCTTGCCATAGTAAGCAGCTTTGTAGAATGACAGTGCTTTTTAGAAAATAATCAATTAGTAGCTGCTTCTCTTTATATTGCTTTATTTCATTTAGGTTTAAACTTCAGGTAAGTATGCTTTCTTCCTCTTTAATAAAACCATGCCAATAAGTCCAGTGATTCCAGTGTAAATATTGCAGTTGAATACCAAGGAATGTTTTCAAACAAGAGACTAACACACTTGCCACAAGTCAAGAAAAAAAATGATATTTTACTTTTAGTTGATGTGATCTTTTCTTAACTCCCATTTCTGCTGATCCTTGTGCTTGAAACCTATAGTTTTGTGAATCTGATCTTTCTATTTAGTATAAGACATCAGTTAACATAATGAATTTCATACTATTTTAATCAAAACATTATTCTATTTCAATCAAAACATTTATATGCTTTCTTCTCTTAGGAAAGATAATGGTTACTTGTATGTGGACATTAATTAGACAAGATAGTTATTTAATCTAGCCATTTAAAGCCATCAGATTACCAGTGAATCGCATGTATGCATTTGCCTAGATTTAAATAGATACAAAATTACACAGAAGCTGATGTAAATAAAGATTAAATCGTGCAAGATCTATTTCTTAACTATGGTTTTCATCTCAAGAATGAGCTCTCTATATGACCTGTTCACATTGTAAACCTGTGGGTTGTTAAACGGAGTGCAGTGCCAAGTAACTTAAGATATGACTAGGAACATGGCTAAGTTGTGCATTAATACTCTGATCTGTCACTGAAATACTTCAGAACCTTAACTGAAAACTTCTTAAAAATGTGTAAAACGGCCACAAGGGTTAGGGCTGGTCCAGGCTGAAATCTTGAGACAGGAATTTCTTTAGGGTCACCCTTGTACATGCATAGGCCCAAGCAGTGAGCCATCTTCGGTTGCTTTCCTGGGCCATTAGCAGGGCAGTTTCAGGTGTGGTTGCTTTACCAGCTATACCACAATATAGCCCCACCACTTTGAATAATTACATTTTGATACTACCATAGCAAAATAGCAATAATGTAGCAAAAACATCACTAATGAAGTGTCATGTATTGTAAAAGAAATGAGTTCACATGGTTAAGTTTGAAGAGTAAGTTTTCAAACTCTCCTAGGATTATTTTTCATTCATGAAATAAACTATTTCAAATTTAATAAATTCATTATAAACATTATATAGACCAGTGGATATTATTCACTAAACAAAGGTTGAATCTAGGTTTTCTTAGTAATATTTTGTAATCACATTATATTTTTACCAAATATATTTGAAGTTTAGGAAAACATTTCAACTTCAGAAAATTTCATAGTTAAAAAGTATCCTATCCTTCACAGAGCTTTCCACATTTTCCAATCTAATAAGAGTTCCTATAGGTCTACTTTTTGCTGTACAATTAGTCCGGTGTGACAAATGACATATCCTTATATTTAAAAGAACAAAAACACATGCTGAAAATGTATTACATAACCATAAGCAGAATTCATGTCTCTGCATATTTATACTTTAAAAATTTTAATGAATACAGGAAAATTGATGATATTGATGATATCCACAAATATTGAAACATGGTGTTTTGTGTTTTGCATAATGCTCACTTCAATACTGACACCACTGAATTTATCTGCTCCTCAATATTGATCAGCTCTCTATGGTGAAAAATTCAAAATGCTTTTAAAAAAAATACAATGGTTGTTTTCTATCATCCTAATATGCAATAATAGAATACCAAATTTATTCCACCTACACAATTATAACTTAGTACACATTAATCAACATTTGCCATCCCTTCCACCCCCTGCTCTGCCAAGCCTGTATTAATCACATGTAGCTACTTACAGTAACTTACAGTAACTACAGGAACTATATTACTTCTTGATGAGTGTAGAAGAAATACTTTTTTAAGTAAAAATTTGGGGGAAAAATCAGGAAAGGCAAGCAGAAACATGAAATCACACTGGGAACCGTATTTACTCTTTGATCCTAAATGTCCAACTCTAAAAATGAGAATTGAAGCTCACCATGCAGTCTTGTAGTGGAGTAAAAGAAAATAAAGAGCATAAATATTTTGCAACCATAGCAACACAGAACTGCACAGTTATAAAACACTCTCAACCCTTAATATGGAATCTAATTAGCAAGTGGTTTTTCTTAGAAAGGCACCAGAGTTGAACGTAGGCAGGGTACAATACCTTTCTCCTGATTTCTTACCCCCTTTCTAGAGCCATCGGGTCAATGCTACTTTGTCATGCTCATGTATAATTCAACACCATAAGCTGATCTACAATGACAGTTTTAGAGACATGCATTTACGCATAAGTATGACTGCAAACAGAGGTGATGTTTGTAGGGAGATACTTGTGTTTAATGCTTTATAAAATATTAAAACATGGAAGGTGAAGATAGGCTTTTTACAGACAGGGTGATAAAAATCATGCAAGTCATTCAGGCTATGTGAAATGGCCCATTGCGTGAGCTCCAAAAGTCATAATCAAATAATGTTACTGAAAATTCACTATGATATATGGGAAATAATTCCTTTTTATTTCTCACAAAACTTATTACTCCAAAAATACTTTCACATTCAAGTGATGCTTATTTAAAATTCTGGATTTTCTCTTTGCCTGCTTTCTCTTACATGAATTCAGCCATTATTTAAAGTTATTTCTAACTTCAACTATTTAATTGTAGACACACCTGTGAGGAAGATACAGGCCAACAAAAGGGTTCAAGGTAAATATATTCACTCTAGTCATGTGGATGAGAGGCAAATTTGGTTATACTATGTAAAATCTTAAAAAGAGCATTTGGATGTATTTGTGGAATTTTCTTATCCATGGAGAAAAAAAAATATGTATTTTAGGTGTAAAGTATTTTGATAACCAGAAACAAAAGATTCTTTTATGTTTTACATTCTACAAAATATAAGAAAAATATTTAATAGCAGGGAATTACAGTCATGTAAACTAATAGAGTGTTGAGCCATTAATATAGACTCAGGTTCATCTAAAACAGAAAAGTCCTGTGGACCAGAACCAATCATACTTGTAGGTTGCAAAGGGACTTTTACCCTTGAAAATATCACTATATGCAATGAGTGACAGTCTGATGCATAAATAAAGCATTACTGCCAGCATTCAGGTAGCTTTGGGTATAACTGCAAATATTTTACATTACTTTGTAGATTATATATGTGTATATTTCGTACACAGAATAATTTTTCTGTGTAACTCTGCTTTTTCCTTTTCTATTCCCTCCATTTGTTTACATAACATTCTGATACAATAAAAGACCAGAGGTTTCCCTCATGGAATCCAGAGTAAATCATATCTTGGAATTATAAGTTTGGAATTTCTGAAAGAGTCAAAATAATTTCCTGAATTTATAAATCTATTGTAACATGACTGAATAGAATGCCTTCCAATATGCAAACTTTTGAAATTAAATGTTCAATTACACATATACTACTTTGTATCTGAAGAATGCACTAGAGAATATCTTGTCAACATCCGAATCTGTCCAAATTGTCTTTTATAATCATTATATTGCAAATTGTTATCTTCAGTTTGATAACAGTATTCTGTTTCTTTGCTATAAACTTCTCATAAGAAAACATAACGTAAATGTTGTTACAATCAGAAATAATGCGCCTTGATAAACTCACAAAGAACCTTATAATAGTAAAGCCTGAGATTTTTATCTCCTTTATAATCTACGCATTCTCTCTTCTTTCTAATCAGGTTCTAGAAGACGATCAAGAGAAGGTCGTTCTCAGTGAAAACCTGAAGACCAGATAACCAAGTTTATACAACCTTGAGTCATTTTAACCTGGTCTTGAAAGAGTATTAACCAAGTTCAGGAACCAGAAAATCAGCACCAAAAAAAATTATCATGCAATTTTTGAACACAATATTTTTCTGAATGAAAAGCACAAGGGAAACTGTGGGACTAGACTTCTGTGGGGTAGGAACTGAAATATGCAGCAATATGTGGTGTTTTAACCTGATATTAAACACTGACACTAATTTTTGAATCCATCAAGGAAAATCATTCTCACCAGATTCATTACAGCTCAGAGCGGAGCTGATATCTCATCAAGAATACTCAGTCTTCAATGTAGAAATTGAAAAATAAAATGCTTGCATGCAGTTACCTCTCCAAAGGAAGCTAGGCTTAAAAAATGGGTGCTCAGAATAAAACAATCTTTTACAAAAAAGGCTTTGCACATTCTAATGCAATGTGGGTTTACTGGTAAATTATGTTATTTTGTACAATTAGTTTTATACTCTTAAAAATTTTGTCATATGCTTCATGCAATACATATTTTTATCTCAAACATTTTTAGGTATAAAGAGAATTACTTCCGATTGGGTAATTCAGAAAACTCAATGTTTAAAAAAAGAGTGGAGTGGACTTGAGAACAGACTTTATACCTCCTTTATTGTAACAAGTACTCATTAAAGGAAATTAAATGAAATGAGTAGTTTTTGTTTTTTCCATTATTTTGTATAAAGAAACACTGAAATAATCATTAAATATTAGCAGAGCACCAAACATAACCTTAAGATTCTGTTAAGCTGTAAAGCTTCAAAAGATGAATCTGACAGTTATGGACCTCAAAAGGGGGCGGGAGAAGTAACCTATTATGCACAAGAGTCCAGGAGCTATTATACAAGAATAACCAGAATTATACCAGCATTCAGGAATCTGGGCATTAAATAAAGGAAGTCACAGTGGTGCCATATAATCAAGATTTAAGGCAGCAGAGGAGTCTTTGCATGACAAAATAGGAACATAAAATACTTATTTTTATTTTGAAAATTTTATTTATGTAAGGTGAGCCCATTTCACAATGCAAATTTAGGAGCGCAGTAATGCTTCCGACCCTGCCCTCATTGGCTGCGAATGGCTGGCATTGACTTCATCTATTCAGCTTTCAACAATTTCCATCTTTAGATTCTCCAAATAAAAGCACTCAAGATACAGAATCCATACTGAAGAAAACTGGGCTGTGATAAAATAACAGAGTTCTGTCTTGGAAGGCACTTACTAGAAAAGTGCACAACTGAGGAAGGCCAAACTGAAGACACCAGACACAGCAAACAAGTGCAGCCTCAACCACATCAAATTAGACTCAGAAATTGAAGAATTTAAGCTTCATGGATAGCTGAAAGATTCTTCATTTGAAGACTGATTGGCTGGGATAAGGAAATGATATACAAATCTGATAGTGCAATTTATTAAAAAAGCATTTGATAGCTTTGATTTTCCAGAACATTTCCTAGACTATGTGAATGACAAGATTTATGTCTTCTATTTAAAGGTACAGCCAGCAAAGAAAATACCTTATCATCTACTTCAGTACCTAGAGGGAATCTTGGCTAGAAAGATGTGTTTTGTGGTCCTTCAAGACAGTTCAAAAGAGGTGGCTATAGATGGTTGTGCTGGTAGAATACACAAAAGGATCAATAGAGAAGGCTTTCTCAAATAGTAACCATATCGCTCAAAGTTCCCCAGAATGTTACTAATTAATTATATCAACTGGACAAAAGATGAAACTATTCATTTAGCACCCTTAAAGGTGCATTTAATGAGTCGCATGTTCCAAAGCTGGGTTTGACCATGACAGTCTGGAACAATAAAATTGATCTTTAAGTTTTTTTAAAAAGACTATTGACTTTCCCCCAGCAGTAGGCAACTGCCTAGGTTGCATTTTATGCAGGCAAGTGTTACACAGCTGGGAGAAAAGCAGCCAATAGCTGGCAGGTGATATGGGTCTCGTTAATGCCAAATTTGTATTAACCATACCAATGCGTCAACATAATTGTCTATTCTTATTTTGTTTTTATGAAGATATGTAGGGGGCAGATGCCAGTAGAAGGGTCTAGGGACCTATGCCCAGGCATTTGTGCAACCTGGACAGGCATGCAAGGCTTCAGGGTAGCACAACATACCACCAGAGGACCAGGCTCGGGGATCTGCATGCCTGGAAGTATTGGGGGCTGTGGATTGCTCAGAAAAAGTGGTCTGGGATGTATGTGAGGGAGGATTGCTCAGAGAGAATGTGACAGGAAATGAGGGGGCTGAAACCGGATGGTTTGGAGGAGGGAAACTAGAGGAACTTTCAGGGCCAGACCAATACACTCCCCCACATTGAAGTCCTAAACTGGACTTGTTGGCATCAATCACCATCTAGTGGCACACGTGAAAGCCATGGTTGGGGTTCTGCCTGTCAGGGCTCAACCACAGTACCCACCAGTTTCACAGCAGGGGTCAGGCTGGGCCATGACACTAACCAGCATGTGAGAGAACTGGGTCTGGGAGCAAATTTTGTGAGAGATTTGTGAGCTCACACCTGTGGGACTGTCACATCAGCTGGTTTTCCTAAGGGCTGGAAGTAGTGACCATGGAACTTATCAACACTCATGATTATTGGAGTTGGCAACAAGGCAGTCAGGTCCAGGCTACAGCACCTGCAGGTGCACCCAAGAATTGAGTGTGGGAAGGGCAAGGCTGAAACATCAACCACTACACACAAAGGCCTATTATGACTAGCAGACTGTGAAAGGTAAAGACCTAATACCAGCTGAAATACAAAGGACCTGGGTCTGGGAGTTGTCTGGGTGGGTGGTGGGGGAGTAGCTGGTGAATTCTCATGGCAGCCAGCTGCTTCCACTGGTGAACATGTGAGTTAGGAATGGGTGTTGGTCAGGCTGGACAGGGCTGTTTCACTTGTCAGCAGGTGTGTGGGTTGGCTTGGGGGAAAGAATGGGCAGTTCAGACTGGGCAGGGCCAGAACAAACCATAGTACACTGGGAAGCAAAGAATCCTGGATGAGATGTGGATGATGCTGAGTTGGGCTGGGCTATCTGGTTTGCTGACCTACTGTTTTGTATGAAAGCCAGGGATGGGGGCAGGCTGGCAGTGTTAGGCTGTAGTCCCCAGCAGTGAAAGTTGGGACAAGGACCTGTTCCAACCAGGTCAGGTTGGAACACTGAAAACAAGTGCCAAGATGGGTGATGGGTTACACTGGGTCTGAGCAAACATCAGCACATGTAAGATCTGTGGCTGGGAGCGGGTCTGGTCAGGGAGATAAAGATTAACCCAGATGGGCTTTGGTTCACACTAGTGAGTGCAACAAGTGGAGTAGAGACAGCAAACTGGACTGGACATGACATGGATGTGGACTGGGTTTGGGGTGTACCGGACTAGACTAGGCTTTAGCACCCTTAATGCTCACAATAGCCAAAGTGGGTGTAGGATGAACTGAAGTAGGTCTCTGTACCCACTGAACCACATTAGAGCTGGGTCTGAGGATGGAGCAAACAGGGCTGAGCTGTAACATGCATCAGCAACAACCAGAATGGGTATGCAGTTGTAGAGCAAGGCCACTGTACCTGCTAGAACAAAAGGTGAGCCAAGTAAGGCTAGGCCAACAATCTAATAGTGCACAAGGTCTATCACTGTGAGGTGACATGATAGAAGAGCTTGGGGAACTCCTCTGTCAAGATGCAATCCTTGAAGGTGAGTGCAAGAACTAAGGCTTGGAGTAGCCCAGACCAAGCCAGATTACAGTGCTGCTGGCATACATGTGAGTGAGGTCTAAGTGTAGGCCAGACTGGGCCAAGTCACAATACCCACTGCAACTCTGAGAACAAGGACATGGTACAGGACAGGTAGATTGGGCCACCACACCAGTCAGTTCACATTAGAGCTGGAACTTGGGGCTGGCTCGACTGCGCTAGGCTGCAGCACCAACCTGCCTGAACTGGAACTGGGAGCACCCTGGGCAAAGCCAGAGTACAGTTCCTGCTGGTGAATGCTGAAGTCAGGTGAGACATGCCACACTGGGCCTCAGCATCCATTAGCATACATAAGACCAATGGGAGTAGTGAGACGTAGGAGTTTTTGCAATGACTTCATTGCTGGGCCACTCAGCCACTGGTGAGCATGAGAGTTGAGACTGGGAGCATACCAGGATGGACAGGGTCAAAAAACCCATTGGACTGCATGTGAGCTGGGTTTGGGAGAGAGCCAGGTTAAGCTAAATGATCACACCCACTGGTGCATATATCAACCAGAGTAAGTGCAGGCTGGTCAGGGTTTGCTGCAGGATCTGCTAGCAGGTGCTGGGATTGTAGGAAAGCCCTGTCAGTCTACAATCTAGAACTACCTGGAAAGTACAAGATCCAGGGCTGGGTGTGGGCTTAGAAGGGAAACTGTGGGCAACCTTCTGATGGTTCGCAGCTCCCACTGTTGAGCATGAGAACCAGGACTGAGGGTATATCTGGCTGGACAGCAGGGGTACCCACTGGCATGAGTGTGAGTTGGATTAAGGTGGGGTTGGTTAGGCTGAACTAGGCTCCAAAGCCCATTAATGTATACAAGAGCCGCCCCATGTGCTGCACATATCATCACCTGAAGGAAACAGGGCTGGGTGTGGGCCTGGTGGGACTTATTGGAGGGTACTCTGACTAGTCTGTGGTTCCACTGCTATGCATGAGGGTCAATGTCCAGTGGGCATAGATGGGCTGAAGTGCAACATCTATTGGCTTGTATATGAGATGGGGCTAGGGACAGAACTAGCCAGGCAAATGCAACCACCAGTGCGTGTGTAGTCTGATGAGGGTGACTAACTTAGCCAGATTCTGCACTGGCTGGCACACACAGGAATCAGTTCTGGGGTCACCTCTTGTGAGGTTTCTTTGGAGAAACCGCCAACTTGATCACTGGACTCAGAACTCCAACCATGGGGAAAATCACAGGATCTGTGGCCTGTGGTATGCATGTCTCAAAACTGGGTCTACTTGGTTATTGAAAATTGTGTAGACCCCAGATGTATATGCACGTCATGACAATCAGTTCATTGAAGCCTGCAGAGGACATCTAGTACCATTGGACAGCTCTCCTGGTCAAGTTTTGACAATGAATACCTGGGCAAACGAAGACTCTAAGGTGGACTATGTCAACCAATGGACCTTGGAAAGATTTCCTCAACTTTGAAGCAATGAAATCAACAGCATCTTTGAACCATCAAAGCCACTTGAGCAGTGTCCTTGAAACATGCTCCACCTCAGGGACCTTGAGATGACATCAAGTGGTTCTCACATTCCCAGATACTGATGCAGTTGAGCTACTGGGAGCGGCCCTCTCCCCTTTTCTCCCCACTTTACCCAGATATAGGAAGCATAAAGAGGACTGGAAACAGTTGTCTCATCTACTTAATCCCATTCCCTGCCCCTCTGCACCCTAATCTGTGGTGTGCATGGGCATGCAGCCTCTTTAACTGTGTAAACATCACCAAAACTGCAGAGTCCAGTGATAATGACTTACACAAGACTCTGAGTATGTTTTCCAAGGTCCAGTGGCCTTTTCAGTGTGGCTGGCACAATCAGGTGCTTTCTAGGCTTTCTCTGAGAGTGAGGGACTGCTCCCTCTCAGATTTTTGTGATTCTTTCTCTGAACTTGACCCTTTCC